ACCCACACACAACACACACCCACACATGCACACACGCCTCCTTCCTCCCTCCAACCATTCCTTCCCACCCTCTTCCAGCTCGGAAAATGCAATCCTTCCCAGCTCAGAAAGCAGCGAGGAGAAGCGTGCGCACACACACACATGCACACACGCCTCCTTTCTCTCTCCAATCCTTCCTTCCCACCCCGATTTCCAGCTCGGAAAATGCAATCCTTCCCAGCTCAGAAAGCAGCGAGGAGAAGCGTGCGCACACACACACACACACAACACACACACACACATGCACACACGCCTCCTTTCTCCCTCCAATCCTTCCTTCCCACCCGATTTCCAGCTCGGAAAATGCAATCCTTCCCAGCTCAGAAAGCAGCGAGGAGAAGCGTGCGCACACACACACAACACACACACACACAACACACGGGGACAGATTGCTGAAACAAACAGCTTAGAGTTTAATTGCTCTCCCCACTGCCACTCTACCAATCAAGGACTCTTTTTGAGTGAGGGGGGGAGAGAAAACTTGATGAGTAATATACCAAACCACATGTGTAAAGGAATAAAATAGAATACCCGTATTTTCCGGCGTATAAGACGACTCGGCGTATAAGACGACCCCCAACTTTTAAGAAGGTTTTTGTGGCCTAGAAAGTCGTCTTATACGCCGGAAAATACGGTAAATAGCTTATGGTATTTTTTCAACCTTAACAACGTTAAGATATACTAGCTGGGGAATTCTGAAATTTATTCTAGCTGAGGTATTCTGGAAACTGAAGTTCACATCTTAAAAGTTGTCAAGATTGAGAAACATTGATCTATGGTATCAGAAAAAAGGATATCATATGATATGGGACGGATAGTAACAAAAAAAATCACTATATAAATCCCATATATACACTGAAGATATAATCGCCTACCAACTATCTCCTAGGATTGTTATTATCAGAAAATAGGAAGCAGGACAATTAGATATGTTCTCCACCATAATGAAGTATTATATAAAATAAGTTAGGATAAAATAACCTTAATAATATTAAACAAACAAATAACAGCAATAATATTGGAAGTGATAGTAATGGGATATAATAATATTTCAACAAACATACAATTGATTGATTCCACGGGCTCAGCTATATCACTAAACCTATAGATTGTTATTCATTAGGAGAAAAAGGAGACAGTTTATTTAAAGAGTTTCTAATACTGAACAGCAAAATGCAACTCAGTGATCTACAATTATTAAACCAGCCTGATGCTTTATCTTTGTAAGTTCACTTACATAATTTTCAAATGTAATTTTTAAATTCCTTGCCCTGATTATCAGACAGTTGAAGAATTGCTTTTACCAAGGATGTTTCAAATTGTACTTGTAAACTACCAAGAATCTTTTGATTTCAATGGGATAGAAACACCAACAATTCATGTTATGTGCCAGTTACACTTTCCTTGATACGGAGGCTCTCCATTTGGTCACTAATGACCTGGTCATCTCCTGACTGGATTACTGCAATGCACTGTTCATGAAGCTACCCTTGAAAAGAATCCAGAAACTTTAGCTGGTGCAGAATGTGACCGTGTGAGCAAAGAGGGCATATATAATATCTGTGCTCCGTGAATTGCATTGGGGCCAGTTTACTTCTGAGTGGATTTCAAAGCCCTACATCCCATGGGGCCAGATTACTTATAGAACCATCTTTGTTCCATTAAATCAATCTCTTTCACTGGGTCAGTAGGGAAAGCATGTTGTAGATCCGGTAAGTTAAAGAATTCCATCTGGCAGGATCTAGGAAGAGAGCCTTCTCTATTATTGCTCCTGCCTGTGGAATATCTTTCCCTTTGAGGTGAGATAGGCTTCCACTCTCCCAACCTCTTGCAAAGGAGTTAAAATGTGGCTCTGCAGCCTTATACGGGGAGCTCAGAGGAGCACGCAGCCATGGGGCTGATTGGTGCCCTGAAAGTGCTTAATTTTTTAACTAATTTCTAACAGATTTAATCAACCTTGCCTCCTTTTAAATTCTAAATTTTCTAATTTTTTAATTTTTATATGCTGTTTTTATATTTTAGCATTTTATTATATAATGCCACAGTCCTTTCCTGAAGGAGATGGACAATTCAAAAATATGAAAATATAGCTATGTTTAATAAATAAATAAATGTTATGTATTCTATATGGGATTGTCTCTAAAGATGATTCAGAAGCCACAACTGAGTCAGAATACAGTGGCTAAACTGTTAGTCAGGGAAATCTACTATTGCAGGATTGCATCTTAAATTGCTGCACCAATGCTAATAAGCTTCTGGGCCCCAATACAAAGTGCTGATGATTATTTTAAAGGGTACCATAATATAAAGTCAGAAGCCATTCTTTTTTTATTTCCTTTTTCTTATTGCACTTTTATCTTGCTATCTTTTTTTTAAAAAAAAAACTATTTTTATTTGTTTTTGAAATTTAATAAAATTTTATTTAAAAATACACTTTAAACCAAATTCTTTCTTTAAACAATTGTACATAAAACTTCAAATTATTCTATCCACAGATTTTGAAATTCAAAATATGATTCTAAATCCCCATAACCTAAATATATTTCAATTAAAATTTCCACAAATTTGAAAAAGGAATTCTAGGTTAGAGTAATGCAACATCATATCTATTTTTTTCATAAAAGCACATTTAGGCATTTATAGATTAATATATATAAATCATTTTGAAATATAAAGAAAGGAAAACAGAATATGATGAAACACAACTCATATCACTGTTTTTAATTAAAAATATTTTAATGACAAACTCTGAACTTTTTGGTGCATCTGATATTATGTACGTTTATGAAAGGCCAATTGAGCAAGACAGTGGGTATAATTCAAAACATCACTATAGAACAGTTTATAAAATTATTAAACATATCAGATGGCTCCTTTCATAAGATATAAACTGTAAATAAATATTTTGAACAATCATATTAGCATAGGTTTCTGAAATCTGGCATTCTACATTTGAAATCAAACTGAAATATGGAGAGAAATTTATATAGTTATTCAGTTCTTTACTATAACAAATATCTATATCTAAGTTATCAAGCTTAACTTATAAAATATTTTCTTCAAAAGTGCATTGAAAATAATGTTTTTTATGTTTGCAGCTTTCCAATATGTAGTACTATAATTTGTGCACGAGTGTCTAATTATCATCATCTTTTATCTTTCTAAGCCCTAAGTTTGGTATACCATGAAAAAGCACCTCCTTGAAAACACCTATGTCTCCACATGATTATGGCCAATATGTATTACTCCATAATTAATGTTGATTTAATGCTTTTCTGAGAAAAAAATATCAAAATTCTTGATACAAATTACTAACTACAGAGTAAAATTCAGTTATATCTCTGCAGTAAAATGGAAAATAATTCATGAAATTTCAACAACTATAACACTTCTTCAGTGTGATCTGCTATGCTAATATATATAAATCGAAGTGGGGAAGGCAAATGAAAACTAATCAATTTAATAATCAGTCATAACGCACTTCTAAATAGTTATACCATCATCAAATCAGAATATAATTGTAGATAACTATGAATAAGTAGCTTGAAAACTCAAATTATTGCTGTGACTGAACATATTATTTGAAACAAAAATCCAATAAAAGTTATATTTTCCACATAAAAAAGGATCTTTTAAAACTTTTTCATCTGTTGTGAGCTGCCCAGTTATTTTTGAGATAGGTAGCTATACAAGTCTTTTAAATAAATAAAACAAGTGTTAGACTAATAAAGAAATGACAAAGGCACTGAAGAACACAATTCTACAGGAAAATAAGCAGAAAGTATCTTTGACAATGGATATAAAAGAACTAGTAGAATTAGTAAGTAATTTAGAATGGATTCAGATAGAGGGTGTATGTCGGCCTAAAGCTCATTTCTAACTATCTCAAAACTTTACTCATACATCAGTTACAAATTTAATTGCTTCTAGAGATTTCTTAATATTTCTTCCTAGTTCTGTTTGTTGCTTGATTGTACTGCACAAAAATAAACTATTTTAATTGGCAGACAGGACTTCAGAACTTAAAAATACATTACTTCTAATTTTATGGTGTAAAAATTCTGCCTGAACAATCCAACAGTGTGATTACCTGAGTCTGACTGATTGCTATATGGTTGCCATGGAGAGGTGACTGATGTTCCTTTTCTTTATTATGACGACTACTCTGTTTACTGCGCTGGAGCTGCTGCCTCAGTTTGGCAATCTGATAGGAAAAAGAAAGAAAAACAAATAAATGAGAGAATAAAAGAGACATAAAAGTAGGAGATACTCTTCTATAAGTAACAGAATACAAAATAACAGTATCATATTCTGAAGACAAACATGTGTTGCAAATTAATTTGTTCCTTAAAATTTATGATAATCCTAATTAAATTATCTTTTAAATAGTTAATAATGGTTTGAATTCAATTTAATTTATTCCTGAAAAGAATTAATTTGAGAAGCAATCATATTTGATTTCAATATTGAGAATTAATATAATAAAATGATTTATAGCTTTTACCTACCTTATCAACCACTTATTTTTTTTCCCAGGGTTTTGAACTTGTCTTCTTTTACCAGATATCCACCCCCCAAAAAGTATTATACTCACATTACTATGTTCTTATGTAGAACACAGTATATTCTCAAATATACCTGCTTACTATTTTCTCTAAAAAGTAAAAGATCAAAATTATCTTAGTAGAAGAAAATGACAGCTACTGTTCATTTTCATATGCAGATTAATATAACCTGTTGAAACTAATTTTAAAATAACCAAGTAGCAACAATCAGCTAAACAGAATAAACCATCACAATCTTAGTTCCAAAAAAATTATATTTTTTGAATAGGTATTCAAATTAACTGAAGAAAACAAAATCAGCACATATTCCATGGCACTATACATAATCCTTTCAATTTTACCACCATTCTTCAATTTTAGTTTTGATTCTATTCAGCAGTTTAAATGGACACTACCGTTTGATCTTGGATCTTATGATAGGGCTACTGTTTCTTTTTAACTCATCCAAATTCAAAGCATCATATTGCAAATAAATGATATAGGCTTCCAGTTTCAAGATGACAAACAACTGGATTGTAATGTTAACTGTTATTAACCAATGACCAAAAGAATGTCTGAAAAGGGATTTTTTTGTCAGGTAATATTGGACTTCAGAATTAATGACAGTGGTCTAGTGAACCGATTTCCTGATATTTCACCACAACTGTGCTGGCATCATCAGAGACAAAGTTGTCTCTAAATAAAATTGGCATAGCAAACCATTCTGCCTTTGAAGATGCCAGCCAGAATTGCAACAAACATCAGGAAATCTGCTCTCTAAATCAGACATGTCAAACTCAAGTCGGGACTGTTTTGCCATTGCCGGCAATGGGGTGGGTGCAGCTTCCGCATGACGCATCCGGCCCAAGGGCTGGCATTTGACACCCTTACTCTAAATCATGGTCACTAAATCCTGAAGCCTAACATGCCTGACAGATACTGCCCATGAAAACCTGTATCAGTAGACTGATTTATCACGCATCCATGAATGCATTTGCTAACATAGGACAATGCAATACTGCCTATGCCTATCTTACCAGATATCTATTTTGACTATCCAATGTTTTTATTGTTTACATAAATCCTAAAACCAGCAGCTTGTGACTGAAAGCACGGGCATGAGTACACTCCCATAAAATGGGTACAATAAATAAACTGCATTTAGTGTTAACTGTGAGTTGTGAAGGATTGCTACACTTTGCCAAGTTGTTAAGCACTTACTTCTTTTAGTTGATCAGCGCTGCCCCATGAAGCTGAACGCTGATGTGATCTCTTTTCTAATATCTCTTCTGCCCAACAGCTAGGTGTCTAAATGAATGGAAACCAACGAATATAATTTGGCACTTATTCTTTGTTTCACCACCAATTCGTTAGTCAAAAAATACTGTTTAGCAATTAATTATATTACAGTTTGATTTTAAAACATTTTGCAAACATTTCCTTAAAGCAGGGGAAAGCAACTGTTTTCATTACAGAAGTCACAACAGATGCTCTATAGATATGATATGGCAGGAACAAAAATGTACAGCCTTTCTGGATAGAAAGTGTTTGGTGGCAGTTAAATGGATATGGATATAGTAAATTTCAGAGACTAAACACATTCATTTCAACTGTCAACTGAAAAGAAATTACACTATACTTATGTCATAGTAATAGACATTTTGTTTATGACGGGATGTTCTAAAGGTCACATACAGTCCCAAGTATAGGATGATTACTGTTTTTATACTTCTTATCACTCCATATCAATTTTTCTACCAAAAAAAATTGTATAAAGTTCCTTTCTACACTTGTGCCTACCTTATTTCTAACTCAAGCACACTGCTTTAATCATATATAAACACATGCTCAAGAATTTACCATAATTTAAATCTCATAATTCCTAACAATAAACTAGAAAGACTTCTCAGATGAATTCTCACCTTATTTTCTACTTTTTTCCTACTGGAGCTGTGAAACTGAAAATGTGGCTTGCAAAAGCAAATTGAACCACATGAAGTGGATGTGAAAAAAATCAAAACAAAGGAGAAACATTTAGAAATACCCAAGTAGTGTTAAGAAAGAAAGATAGAGGGAAGGAGGGAGGGAGGGAGGGAGGGAGGGAGGGAGGGAGGGAGGGAGAGGCAGGCAGGAGGGACCAAAGTAAGTCTATGAAAATGCATAAAACAAAGCAACGTTATCCATGTTAGCTAGTATATTTATGTTCATGAATATAATTATTAGATTACATAGAGCTGTTCGATACCAAATTAAAACCACGAGCATGTAATAAATTCAAAAGTTAAATTACAGTACTTTAACAACTAACCAGTTTAAAATAAAACAGAACTGTATGTCTAAAGAAATACCTTATGTATTGTCAGCATACTCAGAAATGTTGTTTATAACAATACTTAAAAGTGTTTTAGTACACAAAAACCCACTTTGCAATCTTATACTTGCTAAAAGTGCATAAATGTTGCCCCAAATAAGATCATCATTACCTTCTCTTAAATTCCTCTATCTATGTTTATTACAAATAAGCATGTGCCATAACGTAACTATGCCAAACCACAACCATCTACACTGATACTTATACCAAGATAACTACAACAAAACTACTTCAATATTTTGCTTTCTGCAGATAATAAAAGGACATTTAAACTTAAAAGAAACCACAATCACATTGTTATCCCAGCAAGGAATACAGTGAAGCATGCTAGCCTTTTTATGAATTGGATTACTTATTTTTTTCTAATTTGCTCTTTCTTATAACTCTATTAAATGAACCAGCATAGATGTAGTGGCAATAGGAGGGAGTAAGAGGCAATAGTAAGAATGGAAAAGAAAGACGAATGTAGGAAATCAAACAGCATAAATATATTTAATTCTTGCATAACAAATAGACAAAACTAAGAATCTGTATCATTTTGATAACGTTTTTAACCTCATTAAATTTAAAAGATGCAGTAACAAGTATTCACCCAGGAGTAACAAAGCAAACAAGGCTAAGAAATAACAAACTATCAAATGCCATTGATTTCTGGCTCCGCTATGCCATCAAAGAACAATTTAACAGTTCTCTAATATTAATTTTTACAAACAGGAAATGCAAATCATGATAAAGCTATTTCATTTTTAATGCTGAACTACAATAAACTAGCATATACTAGAAATAGAATAAGAATAATACCATTGAACAAATATCCACACTGAAGTATTAAGTTTTAATTATCTACTTCAGGTATATAATGCTACCTACTACATAAACAGAACTTCAGTATTTATATAATAGTATGAATCTTTGATAGCAGTGTATTATTTCATGACAGTTCTTGGGTTTTGTCAGTTTCAACTATTTAAGACCATGAAAAATTTTTCACACCAATTTATTAATGTGGTCAGTTATCAGTTCCACCTTTGAAATTTTCGATCTCTACCATTTCTGCAATTCCTAAAATTCTCAGCCAGCGTAACTATTGATAACTACTTTAAGATTCTATCTCAATAAAAGAAAATATATGCAGCTCAAGGTTGAACTGTAGAGTCCTTGGTGCTCTCTGAGCTTGGTTGTTTGCTTGAAGACATTTCATTACCCAAGTAGGTAACAAGCATCAAGGACTCCAGACCTGATCTACTCATCGCAGAGTGCCCAGATTGGGGAGAGCTCTTAAGGCAAGCTGAGAGTCACTTTTAGTCTCTGATAGCATTCTGGAAATTGAACTATGAAAAGTGACCAATGCAAAGAATTGGGAATACCGGAACAAAAGCTGTATTTGATTTAAATAAAATAAATCAAATAGAATTAAACACGATTCCTTTTTATTCTATATTGATCCACTTTAAAGCTTACAAATTGGCTGATTTATACATTAAGTAATAACCTGACCAAAAATAATAATAATTCAGGGATTCTGAAGACATATCCATGGATTTTGAGGCATTAACATAGCCACATACCATAGCAATGGCATGATGTGATGAGTCAAATGGATATTTTAATAGTTTCCAATACATTTTCTTCATTTAATAGAGCCCCAATCTTTAACCCTACTACATTGTCAAGATTAAAAGCTTTTGCCCTTAAAAAAAGGCAAGAGTTATAGAACCACAGTTCATGAGACATTTTGTACTCAATAATCATTTGTGAAACACTAATACACAAATTTGTAAATTATAAGCACTGTTCAATGGTGATGAGAATTCCTTTAAAGATAGAACTAATCTGAGAAGTTATCTGATATTTTTCTCTTTAATTCCCATTGCAAAACATATACAATAAAATAATCCTTGACTTACAATCAATCATTTGATAATAGTTCAGAATTGCAACAGTCTCGGACGAGTAATTTATGGCCTCTAAAGCACTTCCAGTAATCACAAGACATTGCACCACATTCCTGTGGTTATTTGATCACAATCTGGGTGCCTGGCAACCTGTTTATACTATTTGTGAAGCAATGTGATCATTATTTGCAATCTCCTCCGCCATCTTCCCCAGAATGTCAATAGGGATGCTGGCAGGGAAGGCTGCTGCTGCTTCCTGAGAAGAGACCCTCTTGTCTCTAGAGACGAGATGAAAGAACTGCCTGCCAAAGGGAGCTGAACTCCTTTGTTGGGGTGCATAAAAGGAGCACAAATCTTGAAGGTTTGAGTTCTATTCTTGCATGCCACCAGAGGAGTTCCCTTTCATTCATGGAAGGGAGGTGAACTCCTTTGGCAGGCAGCTCTTTCAGCCAGCTCCCAGAGATGAGAGGGAACTGAAATCCAAACAGAGATTCAATGTGATAAGGTAAAGAGTGAGGGATACCTCAGGCAGGTGGGAGAATCTCTCTTTGATCAAGAATTGAAAATCCTGCTAGAATTTCAACAAGGAGGAATTTCAGCAAGAAGGAAAATCAGACAGAGCAGTAAGGAAAGGAGCTCAGGATGCATCAGGGTTATATAGGTGAACCCAGAAGGGCTGTGCACAAATGCCCCTACTCTATAGGGCTGAAAATCCTGCTTGGAATTTGGCAGTGAGAATTTTTAGGTCCTGAGCAGAGCCTCCCAAGGTCTCCTGCATCCCACTCTGAGAACCTCACATTCCTTACCTGGGATTCTGTTATCAACAGAAGTATCAATAGAACTTAATTCAGAGCAGAGCTCATAATGTTTTCCATAGGCATTATGTACCCTATATGAATACAGAATACAGGACAACAGAGATGGAAGAGACCTTCTAGTTCAACTCTCTGCCCAAGCAGAAGACCCTATATCAGACAAATGGCTGTCCAATCTCTTCCTAAAAACCTCCAGTGATGGAGCAGCCACAACTTCTGAAGGCAAGCCATTCCATTGATTAATTGTTCTTACTGCCAAAAACATTTTTCTAGGTTGGATCTCTCTTTCATACATTTCAATATGTTACTACTTCTCTTGCACTCAGGTGCTCTGGAGAATAGATTGTCCCCCTCTTCTTTCTGATAGCCTCTCAAATATTGGAAGACTACTGTCATACTATCCATAATCTTTCTTTTCATTAGATTAGACATACTCAGTTCCTGCAATCATCCATTTATCATATATTTTGACCTCCAGACTCCTGATCATTTTTATTGCTCTTCTCTGCACTCTGAGTTAATTCCATCCTTATTATTATTCTAGAAGTCCCTCAAGACCTGATATATCATTGGAGCTGGAGGTCCAAGGGACTGGTGATATTCTAAAATAGCTCCATTATTGTAGTTAATATTCACTCTCTCCTGTACCATTTTCATATATTAATTAGTATTATTTTTTATTTCTATTAATCACTGTTTTACACATTTGTTTTATTGTTATACATCAGTCACTTTTTGTGAGACAGCACCATGAAATTTGATAAATAAATATGTCACAATTATTAAATGCAAATTAAATTTTCCCTATATATTTTGGATAAGTTGTATGTGGTACAGAACTACAACCTGAATAATTCCAATTATTATTGAATATTTTGATATTGAAAAGAAACAGATTCTCTGTTTATCAACCAATATTTTACCAATTATCAGATCTGATTCAATTGTAGCATGTTATAGTGTAGTGTGAAATCCAACTTGTTCTCCAATCACTCATCTTAAGCAATGCTGTGATGTTTTGTGATCTGCAAAGCTAATTGGTATCACTTACTGATCTGAGTTAATGAAAAAGGCCAGCTGTTAATCATTTTCATTTCCCATCTACTGCTTTCAGGAAGCACTTTTCTAGCACTCCATACCACTAAATTAATCTGTCTGACACTTGAGAAAAGTGTCCCCATCCTTGGAATCACTATTGCTATAGAATTTATTTCATTCTGCCTCCAA